AGAGAGAGAGAGAGAGAGAGAAAGAGAGAGAGAGAAAGTGGCTACTATGCATGGTACAACAGAGGCCGATGTTTCTTGAAAATAATAATGAAAACATGTTGAGTATAAAATAGTTTCTTACAAAACTTAACATTTTTTTGATAAAATCAATTTAAAAAATAAAAGTTAGTATATTTTTTGTTTATATGTTGAACTCACTTTATTGATCTCTAATAATCTTGTAACACATACATCATTACATATATATTTGATATTTGATGTTTTAGCGGTGTATTATATTAGTATTTGTAGAAGATGATTTTCGGATTTGAACCGCGTTAGTGTCATTTTTATACCGACTTTTTCATGAACATTTCAGTTCACAAAAAAATCAACCTGTTAGTGATATGCTCCTGACCAGGTGTTTTTTTTTTTTTATAGCATTAAATTACAGGCAAGAGGTGTAGTAGAAAGGTGAAGTAAAATGTAGCGAAAAGGCAAAGATGTAGTAGAGAATGAAATACATAACACACTCTTCTCTTTGGCTACATTTTGCTTCACTTCTTTACTACATCTTTTTCTTGTAATTTAGCGCTATACAAAGGGATATCTGGTCAGGAGCATATTAGTAACAAGTTGCTCTTGAAATCTTGATAAAGTGAACTGAAATGTTCACAAGACATTGGTATAAAAATGATATATAACGCGGTTTACATCCGGAAATCATCTTCGAATATTAATATTACATATACATATTTTGCAAATTATTACAGTTTTGAATATAACCTTTTATGTATTTAATAAAACAAGTTGTTAAATTGTTATATGATTACTACAATACAATTATGTACACAGAAAAATATGAATAGAAAATTTTTAAAGTTTTACTGTATATATATAATTAGAGTATTCTATTGTTTGACTTAATATGTTATTAAAAAATAATAATGTTATTAATATGTTATTAAAATAGATATGATAACATTTAACGAAAAACATTGAAAGAGTATGATGACTAAAGGAGTATAACTATCTCTCTCTCGTTCTCTGTACTTGCGTGCGTGCGTGCGTGCGTGCGTGTGTATGTGTGCGTGTGCGCGCGCGCGCGCGCGTGTGTGCATGTGTGTGTATGGTATATATGATAAGTACATCTTCCTACACATTGTATTATTATAACAGTATTATAGAAAATATATAAGTTTACAATATACATGAAATTGTAAATCAAAAAATTGTTTAATATATTTGTGCTATTACGTTTAATATATATAATACATAGTTATTCCGTTTTACATTTATTGTTTAGATTCAGGTTGGAAAAACAGATTTTTTATAACACATACTAAAATCAAGTAATCAGAGGTCTCAGATATAGCCAGTGAAAAATATGTACATGAAACCACTGAATTTGTTGGGCAACCTGGGTAAAAATGAATTAGATCTAATTTAAATCTAACGAAATAAAAAAATGTAAAAATAGATTTAATTAAAAATAAACCTAAAAATAGGTCCAAATTAAATCTAAATAGATATAAAAAAATAGATCTAAATAAATACAAGAGATATCTAAATAGATCCATATGTACATTTACACTTTATTTATTCTTAGATNTACTTTATATCTACTCAGATCTACTATATTAGATCACTTCAGATTTGTTTAGATCTGCTTAAATATAAGTAGATCTAAGAATAAATAAAGTGTAGATTTACATAAAGTTACTTACATCTATTTAGATTTACTTTATATATCTCTTTAGATTTAATTTGGATCTAATTTGAATTTTTTTTCATTGTTTTTATCTCGGTAGATTTAAATCAGATCTAATCCATTTTTTTCGGAAATCTGCGAATTATTGTTTCACTACTCAGATTAGACATAAAGAACAATAATTGATTGATTCTTTTATGCGTTATGCAAACGTCCGTGTTTGCATTTTTAGTTATTTTGCTTGTATAGTTTGTTATTTGTTATTTACTGTTTGTGCAGTATGAAACTAAGATGCTTTTTTTTAACCCAAGATACAAGAATAATAATAATTATCCTTTTGGTAATCGTAATAGCAAATGTTTTTTTGTTTGTCATAACAAAGAATATTGTAAATAAATTTTTTATTATGATGGTAATGTTATTTCTTGTTACAAGCTATAAGGAACATTAAATCTTTCACGAAAAGTTTTTTGTAAAACGAACAGGTCATAAACATACTATACGTATAATCCTACTTGTTTTTCGTTAAGAAGACCTTGTTTATAGGTAACAATTTATTATTGAAAAATGCAATAAGTAATTTATATTATAATAATGGTATTTGAAAATGGATGAATAATAGCAAGTAACAAAAAATAAATTACAATTAAGGAGTATCTGTGTTATAGTTAAACATGAAAGAAGTCAAACAAATTTTGATAGACTAATACAAATTATTCATTATTTTTTATATATGGATGCTACATGGTTATAATCTATTTGTAATTTAAAATAAAAGTGTAATGTATTGTGTTTATTTTGTCCCTTTTAAGTTTAATTTATACTAATGTGTGTTCTCAATTCTTTTAGGTACTGCTGATAAAGAAAATGATCGAGAACTTACGAAAAAATTGCGAAGAAAAGGTACAAAACTATAACATAATCGTAGAAATAAGTTATATATTTCATACTATAATATAAGTTAGCACATTTAATAACTCATAGTACATTACTATCTAAGTGATAGTATATCTTGCGGTATTATATATAAGTGTATATATTACCATCTTTAGTTAAAATGTCCTGTCTCGCATTTTTGCATTTTTCAAGATATATTGAAGTATTGAAAGTTCTACACATATTTTATTTTCTAAATGAAGCTATAAAGTCCTAAAAACTTTATAGATATCTAGAAAGTGTTTCACTTAGTTAGTTGTCCTAACTGGTGATGGCACAAACAAAAGAATAAAAGTTTAGTTTTTTTTATTCTTTTGATATGCTAGATAGGATATTTGAGATAAGAAAGTAGTACACATCCAATACAAATATTTAAAAACATTTTNAGATAATAATAATAGAAAAGAACAAGAATGCAGAGTATATCTCACAAGAATAGACGTTCAAGGAGTCATAAGAAACAACGTACAAGGACGTAAAAAAAAATCAATCTAAACGCAAGAAAGTATT